ACTTCATTCCGATTGAAAATCCATTCATTTTCTAAAAAGACATGGCAGGTTGAAAATTGTCAAATATTTCAGTGGTCCACTTGTTTCTTTGAGCACTTTAGATAGATAGGAATAAAACAAAAAATAAGTTGGCAAAATCACATTTTCGTGTATAACTATTATTTTTCAAATGGCGCCCATTTTCGGCAAGGACCCAATGAAAGTTTTTTTGACGAATCTAACGATACTAATTTATTTGCGATTGGATCAAAAATAAAAACATAAATTAAATATTATTAAGGAAAATACTGGATAATAATTCATTAAATTTTGTCAAGTGTGCCATGGATAGCCATGATGCATAATATTTTGCAGTTATTCTCATCAGATCTTCTTTGGAAGACAGAGCACTCACTTAGGTAATGACAGTGACATAAACTTCATGAACAAACATTATAATTTAATGCACTATCGAAAAAGACTCAAAAAGAGTAAGTTGGCGCTAAATTTCTTCAAAATGTCACACTCTCACATTCTGATCCAGGATTGCCTAAGAAACCCGAAGATCAAACATATACAGGGTGTTCCATGTGAAAATTCAAATCCGGAGCCATTTTTGGTGAAACTGATGGCGTGACCAAAAATGAAAAACGTGCAAAAACTCTACAATAGATTCGTTGACCCTGTGTATATGTTGTATTGGATTGATCTATGTCGTCACGCTTTTTCCCTCGTTTTTCATGTCATGAAATATTGTGAATTTCCATAATCATAAAATTTACACAGGTTCAAGAAGAAATCGCTTTGCAACAGTGGGATAGTTTGATTGGGTCTAGTCGGGCGGCCTACTCTAACTTCAAAATAATTGAATGAAATATTTCACTGTAACAGGGGCAAATTCGACTTGTAACCTTGCACCCCCAATTTCAATTTAACGGCATTTGACAGTTAACCAAAAAGTTATTTTCGGGCGTGCAACTAGTTTTTGTTCGAGGTCTTAGCGCCTCCTTGTAAACACTGAAATGATGCCCCTGAATCCTATACCAATTTAGCGGTCTTTTCGAATTAAGTTAATTAATAGTCGAGTGTCTTTCGGTTTACCACAGCACATTATACGTTTTCAGAATCATCGCAGCTCCAAGAATTAATCTTGGCAGATTGATCTAACTGGAATGAAACCCAACCCATTTCGTAATTTTAATATAGTTCAAGTTGATCGAGAACGAGAAGCTCTTCTTACCGCACTCAAAGTGTGTCTGTTTTTGAGTAAGATTCGTCATTCGTCAATAACATCCTTTCGGAATATAGAGCATCTGTTATTTTATCTCCAATTCAATAAAGGTTTTTATGTGTGGATGGTAAGGCCGATGACCTGCACGTACGGACGCTGAAATTGTGCAGTGAAATTCGGAAATAAGGCGGAAATCTATAAAACGATGAAATGGATTAGATTACCCCGATTGAACGATGCCCGTCCTTCTGTAAAATGAAGATTAATAGGGTCAAAGTGATGGTTTATGGTTTGGTTCACTGAGGATGTACTGAGAAAATTAGATTAATGATTTATGACAGAATTGCATAGAACATTGTCGGAAATATAGATCGAGGGAGGGGGCCAGTAAAGGAAGAGTTCCCAATATGAATCAAAATCAGACAATTTATAATTTCTGAGTTTATTATAGCTGTCTCGACGGTCAGAATATCCCAAAACGTTAATCACCATTTATTCCGGTTCAGATGTCTTCAACTATTGACACAGAAAACTCAACTTCTAGATGCGAAAGCTAGGACTGCCGACAGACTCGAATTTGTATGCGCATGTGCCATGCATGGGAACTATTACTTATTTCTTCTAAGATGATTTGACCTCTGCTTCGACCACTCCACTCCATTTGGCCAAATATAAATTATCAGAAATATTCTTTTTTTTCCATTGTAATTATAATACAGGGTGTTTCAAAACACCCTGAATCCCTCGCTAGGGTAGGTAGACTGCTGCAAAATAAGTTGGGCTTGTTCAGTAAAGAAATGTCGTAACGGCATCCGTTTTCAAGATACAAGGTGTCGAAAAAATAATTTTTTTACACATTTTTCACGATTACTTCGAAACAACTGGCAACATTGTGATGAAATTTTGTATAGATATTTTTTGGAACCTGACACATCGCATGCGTTTTTTTTTATATCTGACTCTCATAGAGGGCGCTAGTTACACGGTTCGTACCGATTAGTTTTAAACATAATTGTTTTGAGGTTAGATTCTCCAACCCAAATTTGATGTGAACTCGAACATCATTCAATTTCACACCAAAAAGGTACTCTTGGTAAAACCCGATACTGTGTTCCGTTTTCGGAATATTTCGATTTGAAAATAATGGATTTTATTGAGATCAATTACTTGTTTATTCAGATTCAAAAACAATAACATCATTCTTGTGCTGTGGTTATTGATTGAACAAAGAATCACAAGTAGAAAGTTGAGAAATATTTGATTAGAAAAATAAAATATTGAGTCAGTTAGAGTAAGTTGTCAAAATGTCCTCCGTTTCCACAAATACACGATTCGATATTTTTTTTATGAAAGCATTATTTTCATCAACGGTTGAGGATCAGCTGTGAGGTCATCTAAGTGATGTTCAATTCTGACTTGCAACTCCAGACGTGAATTTACCTCTGTAGCATACACTTTTTGCTTGATACAACGAAACTGTGTTATCCATGTTTTTAGTAAAATTTGTTTCAATCTTATTCTTGTGAATCATTGTTTAATCAATAAGTTTAGCATTAGAAATGTATTGTTTTTTCCCATTTGCAATAAATAGGTGATGATTTTTTATAATATATACTCACTCTAATACATAGCTTTATACCTCAGCAACAGTTATCTCTTCATCATTTTCAAATCGGAATATTTCGACAACGGAACACAATATCGAGTTTCACCAAGAGTACCTTTTTGGTGTGAAATTGAATGATGTTCAAGTTCACATCAAATTCGGATTGAAAAATCCAACCTCAAAAAAGTTATGTTTAAAACTTTTAGGTACGAACCTTGTAACTAGCGCCATCTATGAGAGTCAGATAGAAAAACAAATTCTTGCCATGTGTCAGATTCCAAAAAACATCCATACAAAACTTTATTACAATGTTGCCAGTATGCCAGTAGTTTCGACATAATCGTAAAAGATGTGTAAAAAAATCATTTTTTCAACACCTTGTATCTTGAAAACGGATGCCGTTACGACATTTTTTCACTGAGCAAATCCAACTTATTTTGCAGTGTTCTACCTACCCTAGCAAGGAAGTCAGTTTTTTTTAAAACACCCTGTATATTATTTCATTAGATACTGATCTGTGTGTATAGCCAAATTGGTCGGCATGAGTATATTTTTAATTATGAATATGCCACAGGAATATCCTTATGATCTCTGCGAATAGTACAAGTATGTTTGTTCCGTGTAAGTCGAAGGGTGATGTATGAAATCAACGATACATTTTTCTCCGTGTATACGGTGGTGTTATCCAAGGTAATGACTTTTGAACCATAGATCTTAAAGGACCAACAAAGACACAAAAAATCTCGTTATAACTGACCATCCTCTCTCTATCACACTCCTTGGGAACCTATAGAGTGTGTATCTAAATAACACCGAAAGAATTCCTTGTGATATTCTAGCAAATAAATTTCATATAAACATGTATCCTAACTTGCTCCGTTTTGAGATACCAGGATGTTGACGTTGGAAGTTGGAAGTATCAGTTGTTTTTATGTATAACCTCCCTGTATAAGCTTTCATGGTGCCAAAATTCAGCATGGTTGGAGACTGAGGAAGCCCTAAAATTTCGAAATGATTGTGATTGGGGTCATTGAGTAATCTCAATGGAAGTCTTGAAAACACCTACAGTAAAATTTGGAGTCAAATCAAAATTTTCATTGTTTCTTCAAAAAACAAGATAGATACTAAAATCACACAAAGGATAAAAATGTTGTTATTTCAATAGTTCAATCTAATAAAAATATGAAACTCAGAAAAACTCGTGGCGTACAATGACATTCACTATGAATATTGATGAATTTACCCACTGTGATGCCACTGGAAATATTATTTCGAATCTGATTGCACCAGAAGAAGCTCCATATTACTACCACAACGTTTTATTGGAATTGATTGAAAGACAATTGAGTAATAAATAAAAAAAACTATTTTTCATGGAAATATTGATACCCTTCATCTCGAAAACGAAACAAGTTGGAACACATGTTCATGTGAACTTTATTTCCAAAAATATCACAAGGAATCGCCCCTTGAATTTTTTCGGTGTTATTCAGATACACCCTGTATAGAACTATGAAACAGTTTTCTCAAAATACATTTTCTCAGTCGTGAAACTAAATAAATTCAAACCTAATTTTTTTCAATTTGTATAATAATAATCCTTATAGCCAATTAATTATACAGGGTGTCAGGAAAAGACCGACAAATTTCGTAAAAGGATTCCTTAATTCCTAAAATATGCATCCTCTCTGTGATCAGGGTGTCGGATGTACGAAAAAAAAATAACATTCATTTTGGGTGTAGATTCAAACATGCTTTTCTGAATCATCATATTAATGTTCCTCTCAAAAATGCAAAATAATTCCGAAAATTTTCAACATTGTCGATGTCATCTGTATATGTGTATATTATCAATGTGCTGTGATTTGGCTGCAGAGTGCTGAGTGACAAAAAATACATGAATATACGTTATTTAACAAAGTAAAGCTCCATATACGCCAACATCCATTCCATCATTTGCATGCTATCCAACTATTTTCGGACCGCTGCCGAGTCCACGTCACAACAATGAAATGTTTGAGAAAACTTTCATCACTAATTTCATACGTCATCTAGTGACACGAAAAAAACGTAAAAACAACGTCAATGAAACGTCATTTGAATGTCTGGAGTCTAGTACAAAATTCATAGTCATTTTGCAATGTGTCATATAAATATAACTAAATTCTAAGTTTTTTTTTTCAGGTACGTTCTCATATCATGTCAACATTACTACAACATATTATTCTCGAAGTCTGCCATATGGATACAACTTTTCTTCATATGGGGTATCGCATTTCTCTTGATGGTGAGTTCATGCGAATCAGAGATGGCGATAATTCTATATCAGGTTATTTCAGGTACCACCGTTACTGGGAATGTGGGGCCAGCTCGGCTTGAATCCGTCGACATTTTCCTGCACAATTTTGAATAAGAATGGAAAGTCGCCGAAAAATATGATATTTTTGGTTGGCTTCATTCTACCATGTGTTGTCATCATTTTGGCATACTCATGCATATACTACAGTGTCCGAAAATCCAGAAAGAAATTGAGATCCCATCAGTAAGTGAAATCGATAGTTCCACATTTTTCTACAGGTTTCTACCATTGAATACACACCATACCGGAAGCCAGACAGGAAGCCAGGAATAACTGCAACCAGACAATATAGATGCATCGAAAGAATCATATACAATGCCAAAATTAGATCAAAACTCATAGTTTGTCCCAATGGCTTCCGTTCGTTTTAGTCCCTCGCTAAAGCAGTCGGAAGGAATTTCACCAATAATTCATTTTCACCACTCTCCAAAGCCGACGGCACATCAACATTGCTAGAAAAAGCAAAAATGTTTGCAGAGCTGTTCGCAGCAAACTCCATCTTAGAATCCCAGGAAAGAGTGCCGCCCATTCCATCCGTTAAAAGTCGAATGCCCGAAATCGTCTTCGTCAACGCACTACCAGACGCATTCTGCTCAGTCTCAAAGCCGATTCTCTGCAAATTCACCATCTCGTACAAGTCTGGTATTTTTCCATCTTGTTAGAAAATAGCTAGAGTCCAACAATCCCCATAAAAGGAAACAAAAGCCTGCCCAACAACTATAGGCCAATTATCCTGTTATCAGTCATCTCCAAAGTGATGGAGAAAGCCAACAACATATTTAGCTGATCAAATATCTAGAAAACTCGAAAATCATCAATGATAGACAATAATATAGCTTTCGCCACCGAAGATCAACTGAAGATCTACTTTGCCTACGCCACCCCAAGCTTCATTAGAAAAACATGGGGAATCTCTAGCTGTTACGTGACATATCGAAAGCATTCGAATGTGTTTGACACCAAGGACTCCTTCACGAACTACCATCCTTACCGCTTCAGCTATGCCATCATTTATCGAGTTTTCTTTCAAGCAGATCGCTTCACGTCGTGGTGGACGGAGTATCGTCTGATACCATTGCCACAAATTACGGCGTTCCACAATGATCAATTTTGGCACCAACATTGGAACTCAACAGCTTCTTATGACCTACAACGCATGGAAACGGACAGTTTTATAATACTGTTTCCACTTGTGGGGTTCAGCACCCAAACATAGGCTGATTCTCTTAGATTCCATTCAGAGAAGAGCCATCCGCCTGGTGGGTGATGCCACATTCACTAATCCTTTGACCTCATTAGGACACCGTAGAATATTACTCTCCATATTGCCTTATCTTCTAGAATTCCCATTCTTCCCAGAAAACCAAGAACTTACGACGATAGCAGGTCAACGCTGTCAATGACGAAATTACGCCTGGGGTACCAAGAACCTAGTTGAATTCAACGCCACGCAAAACCCAAGCCTGTATTTTTCTAGAAAGGCGGAACTCAGTATGCCTGATATAACAATGTCTGGTACCACCATTCCTACCATGCAAGACCACTATATCTGTGCTCGGTATTTCCATCAGCAATACTCTCATGGGAAAATCATGTCCGATCCATCTCGAAAGCTACTTCACGAAAACTCGGATTTTTATTCCCTGCGAAAATCTACTTTACACCTCAACAGCTTCTCATGATCTACAAAGCACGGAAACGGCTAGTTTTATAATACTGTTTCCACTTATATGGAGCTCAGCACCCAAACATACGCTGATGTTCTTAGATTCCATCCAGAGTAGAGTCATTCGGCTGGTTGGTGATGCCACACAATAATTTCTCTCTACCAGAACTCTTTCATCCATTGTACGGCAAAGCTTCAGAATTCTTTACAAAATATTCCCAGGAACTTTATAACCTCCAAGAGATAGAAAAAAAACAATACCTACCTTTCCTCCCTATTCTCCCCGGACAAGCACGATGTAACTCGAACATAATAGGGATTCCCTTTCGTGCGCTCCAAATGATTAAAAAAAGAAATGTTCATAGATCTCCCTCTAGTATAGATTTTTATATTTTTTTTGAGAATATTCTGAGAATATTCGGATTCCTGGAAGAAATCCTATTGTTACAAGACTACCTTATGCGAAATAGACTCCACTGTTCTCCTCGGAAGGCCTGTCGCATATCGCCCGGTGATGTTTACGTGGAATATGACTACTTTTGCCGATGTTGTGTTAATTTCTTGAAGAAGTGTAGATTTTCAAAAAATTACCTTTTTATATTTTTGTTTTATTGTTGTTCATTCCATTGAACATTAGAGAAAATCAGTCTCTTTCTGACTGTTGACATATTATTACACTTCGAGAATTTTGGCAAATTTGTAAGTAGTTTCATATAAAAATTGTTTTTGTCGTTTTTGTTTCAGACCGATTTCTGATAAAAGAAGCGGACGTCGGGAGAAAGACGACAGCAGATTGACAAAACTGATGGCGATTATATTCGTATGCTTTCTGACTTGCTTTTTCCCTCTGATGTTGGTGAATGTATTCGACGATCACGAAATCAGATATCCGGTGGTGCATGTCCTCGCATCTGTCATGGCTTGGGCATCCAGCGTCATCAATCCGTTCATATACGCTGCCAGCAACAGACAGTACCGATCTGCGTACTCCAAACTGTTCAGGATAGTCAAGTCGAGCGTCGTTTTTTCGGACTCGAAACAGCCCTCGAACAATTTCAGACCTGATAGGAATTCTGTAACGTATAAACCCAGTGTCGCAAGTGACATGTGAGTCAATACGGCGGTGTAGGTATCCCGATTTGAGCTCTTTTCTACATTGAACGAGAGAGAGGAAAGTTCTCTTCCCCTACAATGCTACCAACATGGCCGCATCGAAATATGGAGAGGTCCGATAAATTTTCCTTGTCTAGCATCAAGTGTGCCACTGAACTATTTTTGCATTCAGCAGTGTGTTAAAATTAACAATATTAACAAATGATATCAAAATAGGTATGATATAATTTGAAATTTCATTTTAAAATTTCGAAAGATTATCAGTACATAACATTTATGACATAGACATATCAAATCATGTAACATTGAGAATGGTTCAGTGTCGCAGACTAGACGTTAAACAAGGAAAGAGTTATCGGATCTCTCTGTATTTTAATGCGACCAATGATGAGAAAGATGGAAGAGGAGAGAAGTTTTCTCTCTCTCGTTCATAGTAGAAAAGAGCTCAATTCCCAACCCTCTACCATTGGTGTCTCGCAACTGTGAGAGAAAGAAATTAGCAAATTAGCAAGGAAAAATCGGAGTTTACTGTTTTCAAGTTTTTACAACAAAAGCTAACGATATTTTTAATCCTAAACGTACCAGTTTTGTAGGTTGTTGTTAAATCTTCGTGTTATCTTACAAAGGTTACTTTTTTCTTTCTCCGTTATAATTAGAGATACAGAGGAACCTAAAATTCTCTTCAATAGCAACCTTCAATGAGATTCAACATGATCATATTGATTTCCTTATGCGACGTTTCTTATTCATAGAACCATAATTAACTTTTTTTATACGGTCCTGATGAAGTTTTCACAGATTCTGAAAGCATTTTTCATTCTAAATTCAACCATGTATTATACAAGGCGGTTTGAATGTGTTTCGAATCAGCTGCTTTAGCCATCTTCAATGTTTTATCGAAATTCCAAAGAGGAAATACCATCAGTTCCACTTATTTCTAATCATTCAGTGTCAAACATTGATGGAGTAGTTATTTGATATTGAAAAGTAAAAAAATACTTCATAAATTATTCAATGGTGTACTTCAAATTGTTTCATGTTAATGGATTCTTACACGAATTACCTTGATAACACTCATTCTACAGTCCCTTGGTCGGCTAGCGGTGTCTATCTGGACTTTTTTGTTGCTTACGCAAATCATTTATATAACAAAGAACTGAGGGACATTGTTATCTATGCAATCAATAGTATCACCCCAAAATGCTGGTAAATTTATCAGAAGCAACTGTAAGAAGAGGATTGATTCCTTTGTTTAGAAAATTATTATTAATCATAATGTCGAACATTTGTTATGAATGTTATTTTCCTCAAATACTGTTCGTGTTGTCAAAGTTTAGTTATCAAGGAAATTCGTGTAAGAATCTATTAATTTCAGTATTATATAAATACATCCATGTTCAACACCGAATGATTCGAAATAAGTAGCACTGCTGGTTTTTCCCGTTTGGAATTTCGAAAAAAACATTGATGATGGCTAAAAATAGATCGAAACACATTCAAACCACCTTGTATAATACATGGTGAAATTCAGAATGAAAATCAGAATCTGTGAACACATAATAAAGGACCGTATTTGAAAAAAAAGTTGATGATGGTTCTGCGAATATGGAACGTTAAATCTCATCACAAGTTGCTATGGAACAGTATTTTCAGTTTATCTGTATCTCTATCAAACGTAGAAAAAAAAATCCCAAATATTCACTTTTTCCGATATAATTCAAAAACTTTTCGAAGGCCGTTGGTATGACCCCCTGAATGCGCAACTTTTTTCCCATTTAACCGAATTGGTATCTCCTCCTGTTTCCGAGATTCGATCCCATGCTGTGCAACCTCATCATGGTCACATAAATCATTCCAAATTTTGAAAGAGCACTACCACTGAAACCAGTACGAATACATGTTCAGAAAAGATTGAGTCATCAAAATATCAAATCGATTATTTTTGGTATATCCTTTGTTCAATTTCAATTTGTTCTAGAACTGAGAGAATTTAACGAATTCAAAGAAGAGTAAGAGAATTTCAATTCCTGTAGTGAAATTGCAAAAATATTTGCTAACAAGAAGTGTGGGCTGAAGGTATACTGACCCGACCCTGTTCGATTCACTCCTGAATAAAAATTTCCAATTTCGTTGACACTCTTGAATTCAGCATGAAAATCGTGAGGTTGACATCAACATTTCAGTATTTCATCGGGAATATAATAATAAATAATACCATCTTCTGGAGAGTATGCATGTTTTCGAAAGGACTTAGTCGCAATTCTTCGACTGCCAAAGTATCACACGCAGATTATATGGGGCACCCTGTATAACTTTCTTTTTATGGATGCCATATCGGATTTTGATGTATCTGAAATCACCACAAAATTACCATTCTAGATCACACTTATTGTTTCTGTATTCAGTGGTGTAATCAGATATTCTAAAGTTGCCCAGTTATCAATAATAAAATGAATCTCCTACTTCGACCACCCTTTATATCGTGTGTCCCAAATTCGATCGGTTAAATCACGAATATATGTTTCAGCAAATTCAATCGTGATTCAGAATTCGTCGAGAAATTTTGACTAGTTTCAGTCATTTCTGAGATTCAAGAAAAACTGTAAATTTATATCTTCGTTTTTCTCGAATATCTCGAAACTATTAATTGTATGAAAAGACGACTTCAATATTGTGATGGTACTTTTCAGTGACCTTCTGAATGGTTTTGTCGGTTTTTGAAAAAAAAATAAAAGAATAGAAAAAATAAGTTGGAAACTGACAAAACCATTTAAAACATCACTAAAAAGTACTATTAAAATGTTGAAGTCGTTTTATCATACAATCAATAATTTTCGAGATATTCGAGAACAAAAATACAAATTTTCAGTTTTTCTTGAATAACTCAAAAATGACTGAAGCTAGTCTAGATTTCTGTACGGATTCTGAATCAAGAATGAATCCTCCATCTCTCATAGTTACCGAGATCCCAATGGTGAGGATCGAATTTGGGACACACTGTATAGTAGTTATTGTTTAGCCAGTTTTCAATGCATTATTTTCCCAGTCGCAAGTTTCCATAATTCGCAAATCTGTTGATAAAATGTGTCCAGATCATCGATGTCTCAAATGAGCTCTTTGAGAATCTCATTTTAGGCATCTGTAAATCTGAAGGTGAATTTCGAGTGGGGTACGAAAAAAAGGCAATCTGGCGGTCGCAACTAATAAAATATGGGGCCAATATATAACGGAAATATTGATTTTGTTAGTATACCTGGTTGAAATGTGTTCTTAGACACATAAGAATTGTGTATAACTTCGAATAGGTAACTCTAGAATGCAGTAACCTCTGATTCCTCAACAGATATCCATACAATGCGGCTACAAGTGCCAAATCGATCGCCCTGTAACTTTCTTAATTCTTGTCCGATTCTGGTAAATTCTGACCAAATCGTTACTATTTCACGCATATAGCGCATATAACGCCCGCGACAAAAGTGAGTTATTAAACTTAGCTTCATCATGTTTTGAATTGAAGTGTGATCCCTTCTCAACATAATGGTTCTTGATTCACGTCGATGATATCTTTTTTTTAAGAGAAGATACATGTGTTACAAGAGAATATGGATATTTTAAATTTGCAGAACCTACATGAACTTATCAATTTACAACTTGAACAATTGATATCACTCATTTTCACCCAGTTTTTTTAGCACTCCAGCAGAGAGAAACGTCAATTTCTAAAAACAAATGAATAGCAGACCTCCTATATGTAATCCGCCGTGGCATCGAGTTGATAAAATTTCTCAAGAAGTCTTGAAGATTTGCCTCAAATTCTCCTTGAATTCTTAAAACACTTGTATCTTCTCTTGAAAACAAGATATTGACTCGAATCAAGTACTGATGTGTTGAGAAGGGACGAAAAGGGATCACACTTCGATCCAAAACATGATTGAGCAGAAAGTTATATATGGTTCTGAATTATTGTTGATAGAAAATTTTAAAAATCATACTTCCTTAAAACACTTGTATCTTCTTCTAGAAATAATATATTGACGTGAATAAAAAACCATTGTAATGAGAAGGGATCACACTTCAATCATAACCTTTGGCACAGAGCGTTGTGAATTTAAGGGTGGAAGAGTAACTTTATCAAGCCATCAGCTTTTTTGAGAATAAAAATTCAGGCTAACATTCCGAAACATAAATCTACGATTTGGTCAAAATTCCACCAGAATCGGACTAGACTTAAATTTTTGGTGGCCGTTTTTTGTTGCCGGTAACTGTAGTTTGCGAGATATCAATGGTTATTTAAGGTCGAATTCGGGACATACGTAGACTGTATATGGAACCACACATATGAAGTAAGAATCTCCGAATTGTGAATAAAACTGAAAAGTCTGTCTTCACAATAAATTACCCTAAATTTGCAATTGATCGAAAAATTGGTTTGGTGATCACATTTTCCCCACAATTATTTTTATCAAAACAAAAATGAATGAAATATTGCTCGCAAAAATAAGGGCATACTATATTCCATTTTACTGAAAAACATTTCGGAAAAACGGTCAATGCGAACTGTCGCCGGAAGAATGCTAGATATTTTCTGTTTTTTTTTTTTTAATCTTGATGCCTATAGTTGGAATGCAGGTATCAGTAATCATAATGAAAGTTATCAATCTATCCATGTTTTTTTGATGACGTTTCAAATGAACCCTGTATTTGTCATCTTTTGACGAACCATTCTAATTAATGCGATGCATATACTTACTGAGTATTGTTGACGTCGGTTCACAATTTCTGGATTACCACTTCTTGTGCAGCATATACAGGGTGTCTATAAATGATCGTAGCATCGTAGTGACCGTTGAAATGTTATTGATTGATTTGCAGCTTTCCACTAGAGATCGAACTATAACACATTCAGTATCGTTTCAATGCCTGTAAAAACGACATCAGCAGAGAGCGGTGCCATTTCCACGGCCACCACGATGGAATGATCATAGAAACCCTGTAGTT